ATGGTAAGATATGTGGTTCATCAGTAGGCTGTCCATCCAGACGTTGTTGGAACATAGCATGTACACTGCGAGAAATCGGGGATTCATGGCGAACTGAAAGATGAAACTGTGACAATAAGGACTAGAATCAGCGGAAAGAAAGGTGAGCGATGAGTTCATATAAATAATGTTTAAAAATTTTGAAGCTGTAAGAACTGACTATAATTTAACTGCAAAAGATTTAAGACAGTTTCACAAATTTTACTCACAAGCGTTATCCAATACAGCCTGCATAGCTTCATCTGGAGGGCCAGTGTTCGAACGAACGAACTCAATCTGGGTAGCAAGGCATTCACTTGGTGGAGGAAGCCCTTCCTAAAGAGATGATTTAACCGATGATGAAGCATTAAGTGGGAGGAAAAAAAACATGGAAAAGCTCGTAAAAAGCATGAAATGTGATAACATTTTCAGAAAGTGACCATTTCCGTGAGAAAAATCTTGAAACCAACCGATCCATCCAAGATATTCCACATGCATGCAGCTGCCAGGAACCTGACTAGTTGCGATGGATGATCCGAGGCACCTGTCCAAACGACATCGTCGCTGAAGAGTAGCTAAAAAAGAAAGCTACGCAGCAGAAATAGCTCTTGCAATAAAGAAAAACAAGAGCAGAAATATCCGTACATTATATAACCTGGCCATTTCCTCTACTTGCTCCTTTTGTAAATGTGGTTGGAACGTCCCAGCAATTTGCAGCATTATCCACATCACTTCGTCGCGAGCTCTTCGATATCCCGTCTTCACAAGCACATTTGATAAGAGACTCAGCAGCCTGCTTAGATTTCTAAACCAGAACTTTCAGCAAAATTCGTTCCAAATAAATGGATAAATCTAGGAACTTGCATGTGTTTTTGCGTGATGCCGTACATGATGATGCTCATAAGATTTTCCCATTGGTATCGAGGAATCTCTACTTCATCGGGTAATTTTTGTACCTAAGAGGCTACAGATTACAGAAGATGTCTTAAGTTTGTAAAGATTCAACCAACTTCAGCCATCGTTTCGCTTATGAGAACTGATAATATCTCATCCCACTGTGTTCTCCCGTGGGTAACTTGGCGAAGAAGGCCCTGAACAGCAAAAATATGGGCAAGAAAAGCAAAAGGTTACTGCTTTCATTACCGATAGGACCTCTTTCCCTCGCGGTTGTCTGATTACGGTATATAATAGGTACGTTTGAGGTGCCCTCAACTCAGCCTTGTAGGGTAAGTAAGGAGCTCGGTGACTAAAAGAAAGCACCTGATCAAAAAAAAAAAGAAAGAAAGACTCTG